TAGTAGTAACAAGTGCCTTACTAGTAGTAACAAGAAGCTATTAGAATGGAACTTAAATCTAAACTAAATTCATAGCTTCTTGTTACTACTAGTAACAAGTGCCACGCTAGTAGTAACAAGTGCCTTACTAGTAGTAATAGCTTCTTGTTACTACTAGTAACAAGTGCCACTCTAGTAGTAACAAGTGCCTTACTAGTAGTAACAAGAAGCTATTAGAAGTAAACTTAAAATCTAAATTAAATTAATAGCTTCTTGTTACTACTAGTAACAAGTGCCACGCTAGTAGTAACAAGTGCCTTACTAGTAGTAACAAGAAGCTATTAGAATTAAACTTAAATCTAAATTAAATTAATAGCTTCTTGTTACTACTAGTAATAAGTGCCACGCTAGTAGTAACAGGTGCCTTACTAGTAGTAACAAGAAGCTATTAGAATTAAAATCAAATTTAGATTAAATTAATAGCTTCTTGTTACTACTAGTAAGGTACTTGTTACTAGTAGCGATGCACTTGTTCCTAGTAGCGATGCCCTTTTGCTGGTAGCTTCTTGTTACTAGATGCCCTTGTTACAAATAGCTTCTTGCTCCTGGTAGTAAGGCCAGGAGCCCCTAGTAGCGTCCTTGCTCCTAGTAGTAAGGCCAGGAGCCCCTAGTAGCTTCTTGTTACTAGCAGCGATGCCAGGAGCTGGGCTTCTTGCTACTAATAGAAATGCCCTTGTTGCTAGTAGCAGTTTTCTTTTTATTGTATATATTTTTGGTTTCATGGTGTGTCTCTTTTCACAGCCACCAAAAATAAAGCAACCGGTGCATCTTGTCTCCCACATCTCTGGCAAATCCAATCTGCATTTTGCCCAAGGTGAATTCCGTCATCGAGGCCTGCTGTGCGCTGCTGGAATTGGAGGCCCATGTTTGTGGAGCGCGTCGCCATTGAGGACCAACGGATGAACAATCGTACAATGGAAACAAGGCCGAAGGAAAATTTTGCCATATACTTTTGTACCTTGGAGTAGCCTTTCTGAACACGTTCCACACTTGATGCAGCAATGTTGGGCTCATTTCCCAGATCTTGGCATTGATGCTGTTTCTACAGTAGACGTCCTTAGCGAGATGCGGTTTGTGTTTTCCTGATGGTAGAGTTCTGCAAGATCTGTCTAAACCAATTTGAGAATCTTTTCCAGTCACTTCTTCTCAGCGGAAGCCAATCACCCGCAGGCACGTCTGGAGCGAGGAGGTCAAGATTTGACTGACCTCACACAGAGCTTGAACCTCGAGGTGGCAACAGGCGACAAGCGAATCAAGAGAAGGAATAGAATGAAGTGCAGGAAGACATGAGGACACACAGTACGCGACGTGACATATTTCGGTAATAGGTAACTCTGAGCTTGCCGCATGCGTCAATTCGATTGGAGGCCCTAGGAACAAGAACGCTACTAGGGGCTCCTGGCCGTACTACTAGGAACGAGAAGCTACTAGGAGCAAAGGGCATCGCTTCTAGTAACAAGTGCCTTACTAGTAGTAATAGGAAGCTAGTAGTAACAGGTGCCACGCTACCAGTAACAAGTGCTACAAACGGGGCTCCTGGCCTTTCTCGGCACCGCCCCGTGAGGCGAAGCGAAGCGGCCCCGGCCGCCCGAGGAGGTCTTCGGCAGCGGCGACGCCGAGTTCCCCGGCTTCTCCGCCAGGAGCCGAGTCGGAGTCGGGACGGTGGAGTTCAAAAAGGAAACAAAAAGGACAGCGGATGGAGTGAAGGATATGAAATATGGCTTTTCGGATTGGATAGAGTGTTTCTCTTAACCAACTGAAATATGATGTACATATATAAATATGCATTACTAGTAGCGTCCTTGTTACTACTAGTAAGGCACTTGTTACTAGT